GTTAAACGTTTTCTCTTTGGATTGTAGAAGCTGAGAAGAAACACGTTCTTCTGTGGTGAAATTTGGTGGTACATTACCGTTCCTGGTGTTAGCGACGGGTAGCTATAATTAGAGAAAACCACTCATACAACTGTTTGAATGTCTTGTCTGACAAAACAAAGCAACAACAACAAAAATAAGAAAAACAAAACAAAACAAAAAAGTCCAAAGCCCCGCAGGGATGGACAATAGGGATAGAACCCAGACACTGAAAGAAGCTTCACTGATAAGTTCGAGAGAGCTTTGAAATTATCTGTAGGGAAGATATCCATTCTTTCAACTGTTCAATCACTAATGAATGATCTGTTATCAGTTTTATCAGGTCAAGCAGGCTAAGTGTTGAGGACAGAAGTTAGGCACTGCCCTGTCCTCGTGGAATTTTTAGTTCTGAGGTGAATGTATGGAATATTCACTTTGCCCTTATACCACAAAGCCTACTCACAACTGCCCATAGATGATTCCAGATGGTTCTCAGAATTACCTTTTATCTAGTTCAGATGAAAGCCGTCCTACCACAGAACTTCCAGTAGGGAACATCTCCATCACGTCTACATTTGAAATCTAGGACACTTACTTTGGGGTTTCAAAGGGGTATGGTTTGGCTTCTGACAACTTACTTTTAGTGTGAACCAGAAAAAAAAAATGACCCAGTTGACTGGTTTACCTCAAAATAGATGAAAACAGTCATGTCCATGGCAAGGAAAATTTCTGGTCCGTTCAACTTGATTTGTCCAGACTCACTGTCTCTTGGAGTGGCAATGGTCACGTGTCCAATTTTGTAGGCAAGAAAACTGTTGTACAGAAGCAGGGAAACTAGAAGCGACAAAGAGATAAATTAGCCACATATTTTTTGGCAAATCCAGGCAGGAGGGGTAATGATTCGTCTCAGTTGGCAGCGGTGAATGCTGAGAGAGGAGTTAGGGATGAGCGCTGACCAAAGTAAAATTTACAGTAATCAGCCATGTCTGTGAGGAAACTAGTAGAGAGGCCACATGTGTCTAGTCTGACATTTACTTTCATTGCCAAAAACATAAGTCTACACAGAGAGGCATCACTTGGGAAGAAGTGATGGGAAAGTAGGAACCCTAGGCTGTATAACAAGATAAAACCGTCATGACAAGTGAGTATGGTATTCAGACTGAATCTAGACAGGCATTGGGATTTCCCTCTTTGGGAGAGAAAGAGCAAGCCAGCCCACTGATAAAAGAAAGCAGGAGACAGTAGAGAGATGAGGGAAAGCTTCCCTGCTGTAGGAGTGTCCCAAGTCGTTCAAGAGCAACACCAGAGAGCTGCTGCAGTTGAATAGCAATCTTTTGGTAGCTGGTGGTTTTCTGGTAGTAAACAGGAACAGAAATCAGGAAATGTAAATGATTATTATTGTTATAGTGATTTTTACTATAAGTTTTTTTTTAATATGATGAACAGGCTACAGGCAAGCAGAGCCTTCAAGAACTCAGCTATTTAATCAACGCAAAACATGTGAGAATAGACATATTAAAAATAGATTTCCTGGCCAGTAGGACTGGGGTATAGCTTGAAATCTCAAAAATACGTTAATTAAATAAAGAGATTTAATCATCCTCCGAAGGTTTCCAGGATTTTCCTACTTATTCTCCCAATAGCCCTCAAGGTAAGTATTAATATACCCCTTTAGATTTTGCATAAGGAAACAGAAAGCAAAGTTAAAAAAAAAAAACGAAACTTGTTTCAGGACTCAAACTTGCTCAAAGTCACACGCTTATTCGAGGTCATGAACTTGTTCAAGCTGAAATTTGTGTCCAAATCTACCATGTTCTCAGAGCTGTACAGAAAGAAGAGTAAATACAAGACACCATTATCTCATGATCAATGTCATTCTCCTTGTTAAGATAGGAATAATACCATATGGGTTCACTTGATTGGGCACCATCATTCTGACTGTATTCTGTGGTCATCTAGTAATATTTGGAATATACTTTGGATCTTCATAACTGTTTTCCAGCCCCACACAGATAGGATTCTTTTGTCTATTATTGTGTTTGTGTGTTTCTTTGGAAATACAGTTAGGACACAATCTTATGACTGTAGGATCTGATAATATCAGTCAACATGCATTCACTGTCTGTAGGTTTGAAGAAAACAGCTAATATGTAAGGAAGTAAGACAATTTCACTGTTGGGCACATTGGGAAGACAAGCAAATGACGCTATGATTTGTCCATTTCCTTGTTCTATTTTATTACTCCTGATCTTTAGTACCAGGAGATAACATGCTTCACCAGTAAGATACTTTTCTTGTCCTGAAGACTTCGCACTTTATAGGAAGTACAAACACAGGTAGACACTGACTAAATCACCCCATAGGCTCTAGTTGCTCTAGGTTCTGTGATGTGACTTTTAACAAGTGACTTCACCAAATATGGGAAATCAGAGTGTGTATCCCTATTGAAATTTCTTTGCATTATATTTTGAATATGATTTATTATATTATTATAAGTTTGTAGAAAATGGAATTGAAAAGGAGATAGAGGGGAAAGGAAAAATTGGAAAGTGTGTGTGTGTGTGTGTGTGTGTGTGTGTGTGTGTGTGTGAGAAAGAGAGAGAGAGAGAGAGAGAGAGAGAGAGAGAGAGAGAGAATAGGACACCAATACTTAGAGAAAAAGAAAGTTGAGAAACTGAACAACAGTGAAGACATGACCAGAGGGAGATAATGACTCAATTCGTTGGCACTATCTTCAAAAAATGACAAGGTTTTTAAAAGGCAAGAAGACTGTGACAGGCATCTAAAGTTATGGACATTAACTTTAATGAATTAGATTGGGGAAAACATGTCAGCTAGCTAAACTCAGTGTTAGAGGGCTTTGTCCTGTACACAAGACACAGAGGATTCAATCCACATAAGTAGCAACTTCTCCCCAACACACACACACACACACACACACACACACACACACACACTAACTAAAATAAAACATAAGAAGGAACGGAAGTTTAGGATTAATGAATTTTGAATTCTTGATTCTTGCTTGGTTAAAGGTGTCATTATTCCCACTTCTTTTTGTCTCAATTTGGTCACCCAAACAGTACTAACTTGAGGAAACAGAAACTCTGGGAAGTTTCTTTAAAAAGAGAGGGGATATTTCTTTCACTATCCCCTTCATTTACTGGTTGCTTTGAGTATTGTGGCGGTGCTTGGGGATCCAGCAATCACTTTGGATGCCAGAAACTGGGGACTACCTCACAGTACTACAAGGAACTTGATAAAACCCAGTATTTCTTCTCCATCCTGCAGGAAGGGATTAGATTTGGAGAGGAGAGGATGTCAATAAAAATTGGAGGCAATAGACAACGGTGAAACATTGAGAAAAGAAACGATAATATTTCCTCCATTTTTTTGAACAAGCAATTAAGATGGTCAACTTCTAGCTTTCCCATGTTCCAGCACTCAAGCCAGCAAGGCATTGTGAAAAGATAGGCCAAAGCAGTCTGCATTTATAACTTCTAGATAATCACAGTCTAGACAGGTAAGTGAACTATGATGTCCTTCATGCTCAGAGCTAAGCAAGCACAACAAAGAGAGAGAGAGAAAGAGCACACACCCAATACAGAGAGAGGGCAGGGCTATTAATACCGGGTAATTGTCTCCAGGTATTTAAGCGGCCAGGTTTGATTACAGCTCTGGAGAACTCAGCATTCCTGCTGGAAACGACAGGGACAGGGCCTCAGTTTTTCCACTGGTTAGTGAAACTGTAAAACGAAGCAAGGCACCATCACCTCCACCACCAGGGCAGAATTGTCCTCTATCAAAGGAAGGCGTTGTAGAGTCGCTAATTCATTCGGAACAGACATTGAACCGGTTCACGCTAACGCACAGAGCTAAGCGTGAAACAAGCAAAAGACTCTCTGTTCTCCAGCGACTCACAGGTGGGGTGGAGTGAGAGCTCAAAGTAATTAAACAGCAGTCTTCCAGAAGGCCCTGAGCTGTCATACTGAGCCAGGGACAGTAGGAAACCACGAGGGTGCCTGCAGGTAAGGAAAAGCTCTGCCGGGGCCATGTTCGAAGGAGCAAGAGTTGCCGAGTGAATCACATAATGGTGGAAATTTCCAGAGACGGGGGAATGCGTAGGTACCTGTCAACGTCTCCCGCAGCAGTGCTATGTGTCTTCGCTGCTGTGTTGTTTGGCGGGGGAGGGGGGCTGAACAAATGTGGGGTGGGAGGAGTGCGGGGAGGAATCCATAAAGTGGAGATAGAGGAGAAATCAATGTAAATGAATTCAAAGTGAATTCCACGGAGAAGAACACAAGGCACGTCAGATAATGAAAACCTCCTTTGCCTGCTTTCTACTGATGCCTTTCCAAAGGTCTTAGAGATACTTTAAAAAGGGCTGGGCAGGACTGAAAGTCTTACTTTAGTGTGTCGTGTCCGTGTCCCTCCCCCTCCCCCCCTCCACGCCCCCGCCCCACTGCCCGAGTAGGGCTGGACAACGTGAGCTTCGTAAAGACCTGATCACTAGTAGGGTAGATCTCAGGCAGTCTTAACGATGTCTGTGCCTTGATCCTCTCGTCTGCAAAACAGGATATGAAAACAATGTTTACTTCCTCTGGTGTGAGATTAAAATCTATTAAATCCTGGTCACCAGGCTGGCACCTCCACACACCAGGATGCTGAATCCTCCACCAAAGTGAGCCGTGTTGTGATACTGCACCTTCGCGCAGTGGTGAGTAGCTTAAGCTTCTCCTTCATCTACGGGCTCCAACAATTGAAACCCTACTTACTTAGAATCCATGTCTGTAGCCAGAGCACAAAAGTATGTCCAACAAGACCCTATTCCGGGCACACAATGAACAAGTCCCAATATGCAGCCATTTTACCATAAAAGCATTTCTTCAGTATCAAATGGGTATTTATGCAATCCATGGAGGCAGCTGCGGCTGCGGCCTAGCTTGTCTAGGGACGACTTCTGCATAGTGCCATAGTGTACGATGACAGATGTCAAGTCAGGATTCAGACTCAGGATTTGACTCAGCTGGTTTATAGACTCCCTTGACTGACGCCAATCTTTCTCCCTTACCTTGTAAATGTTAATTTTTAAGAGGAAAATCTGCGCCAGTAACCAGGACACCAGAGGAGAGGCAAGGTCAGGGAAATGCCCTCTGTTCTTAGCCACTAGCAAAAAACGGTATTTTTAAACAAAAGCGGTTTCTTCGGTTTCCATGAAAGGACTCGGACATTTTTTCTAAAATGAATCCGGATTCAACATGGTTCTTTTCGATCTGCGACGTTGTGGCCTCTGGACAAGGCGGTGCTTAGAAATGGTTCTCTTCCTGCTGACGTCATTGCATGGATGCCGTTCCATAGCATAGACTTAACGTCAGTGGTACCCAGCCCCAGGAGCCGCTTTCCCGGAAGTGGCAGTGATTTCTCAACAACAATAAAGCTAGCTACACTCAGCCTCTCTCGATTATGCTGCGGGAACAACCTGTGTAGGGAAACAATACCCTCGATCCTGCTGAAGGTTCGCACAGATGGGACACCAGTGGGAGGAGCTGCCAGCTACTTCCCTGCCAGCGCGTTAGTGCTGGTGACATGATCCTCTTGTTTTGCCAGCTTAATAGAGGATCAGCCGTAAAAATTCTCTGTAGGCTCAGCAACATAATTATTATCTATGGTCTCTGCATTAACTGCGAGGAAACAGCATGGTCTGAATCTGTCTCATTTTAAATGCCAAGCTGTGCCCACATTCAGCCCACAGCCAACCTGAAAATCCAATGTCCCTGCCACACAGCTCTGCCTGTCGTCATGCGGAAGTTAAGCATGCGGTTGCCTGAGTCCCGGTGTTTAAGCATCCTCGGCTGTCGCTGCGTTTGCTTCCTTCCTCCTGACCTTTACCAACATCAGTGCCCTTGATGGAAATTATTAAGTAGGTAAAAAAAAAAAATCTGTGTCACATTTCGTTCTGGTACTCAGTCCAGAAGAGCCAAACCCCTGCAAATTTGGAAAACAAACTCCTTAACAGATGGGCCACATGAAGTTTACAGCATGTGCAGTGTGGGAGGTAAGTATGGCTCTAGGCGAGAAACAGAAGACTAGAAATTTGGGAGCTCAGAGTATTCGAATTTGCTCTTGTTTCTTTGGTTTATAGCAGACCACATAAGCTTATACCCTTCGCGTCCCTCACACTACCTGATACTGTAACATTATCAGCGAGTGAGTAATAAGAAATTGGGATTTCTTTTTACTTTGTCTTTTTTGCTTCACGTGAAGCATGAGCGAGTGCGGCTCGCCGACTGCCAGGATTGAGCACAACTGGTATCAATCTGCTAATAGAACGGGCCTGCGTGATCTGGAAAATCCCACACTGTAATTTTAAATTTGAAAGGCAGTTCTCTTTCAGAGAGGACAGGTGTCTTTAGTCTATAAATGGTAACCATAGTCACCGCAGTGAAAGACGTGACTGGCCTTGAAAAAAACATCATTGAAAAATTGTTGGTTTACGACTTCTAAATAGGTATGGAAACTTGTCTTCACAGTGACCCCTGGAAGCAAAATATGTTAGAAAATCATTTGAACTGCAATGTTATAATATGAATTTGGTCATTGTCTGGCAGCCAAAGGTACTCAAACATGGATGGTCCTTGATATTATTTGGGGGAACTTTTTCAAAGACACAAATGCTGCAGACCCACCACAGGCCTACCGACAGGAAATGACTAAGCAAACCCATTCCTTACCTGATACCAGTGACTCATCGCACTTGGTCTCTGTCACAGTTTTCAAAACTATGTGACCCAATAACAATAATTTGGTCATACTAATAATGACTGAAGTTTCAAAGATGAAGACGGAAATCCAGCGGTTGCCTTTCCAGACATTGGAGGGTTTGCCTGAGGGCAGATGGGAGACAGAAAGAGGAAAGATGGGAAGAGAAGGCCATGATTCAGTCATGAGGGAACGTGGAAGGGAACTAACTGAGAGGAAAAGGAATCCTGAAGGTGAGGAAGGAGGGAAATTCAGAAGTGAGAATGGGCAGATATTTTCAAGGACAGTGTAGGTGCTACCCTGCTGCCACACTGGTCTCATGATTTATTTCTAGTTTAACACTGCCTCCCGTCTCTAATCCGCTTCCCATTCTGAATTCAGAGATCTCATATGTGGTAGTTTGAATGACAATGTCCTGTTAGAATTTAAAAGTGGTAGGCAGGCCTCTGAGCCTCTCCCTTCCAACCCCCTTCCTTAACAAACCTCCCATATGATAGTTCTAAGGTATGGCCATCCTCGTCATTTTTAAATTATAATATGTCTTCCATAGAATATTTATTTGAATACTTGGTTCCGAGCCAGCAGAACTGTTTGGGAAGGATTAGGAGATGTGACTTTCTTAGGGGAGGTGTATCATGGGGGATGGGGGGTGGGCCTTAAGGTTTCCAAGCTCATACTATTCCCAGTTGATTCTCTGCCTCTTTCTCTACTTCATGTTTGTGGATCAGCTGGAAAGTTCCCAGCCATTGTTCCGGTGTCAATGCCTGATTTGTCTCGTTCCAGGTTCCCCACCTAACCATGGACTCATTCTCTGGAAGTGTAAGCCCCAATAAGCTCTTCCTTCTGTAAGTTGGCTTGGTCATGGTCTCTTCACAGAAGCAGAAAAGTAGCTAAGACAGTCTATTTTGAAAATTCAGGTGTATCCCATGATGCTGGCCTGTCTGCAGCACCCAGTCAAGCATTGGAACTTGCAGGACCAAATACAAGCAGTACTGTCTCTGTCACCTGACTCGGACATACTGCTTATGAAACAGTGTGTCCCACTGGGCTGATAGCTCACTTAAAAAAAAATGCAGTGACCTTTTGTTTTTCTTGGAAGCACTAACTTTATATCCACTCAGAGTGCCCATACATGTTCCCTATTCCCATAAAAATCTGTCCCTGGGGTCTCCTAACATCTTCTTCCAACTTGTGTTGTTAACCTAGACTTTCAGACCATTCCTTAGAAATTCCCTGATTTTCTATAGAGCTCTTGCTCTGTAGTCTGTGATAGCCTAGAATTCACTCTGGAGCCTCGAGTTCATAATCCTTCTGGGTCAGTCTCAGGAGTACTAGCAATGTAGGAACACACCACCAGTGTTTGGTAATGACCGCATAATCTAAGCGAGGCCTGTTTATTGGACTGGCATGACATCCTTATTTTCTATTAATATTAATCCTAATTTATTACCCATCATTAATCATAATTTCACTGTTAATCATAATTATATCAATACATTAATTACCGTTACTGTTAATCATAATTTATAACATCATATTGACTTAGTTGGTTTTCAAAATTCTATAATAGAGATTGGACTTCACCAAGACAGTCAGTGTTATTCATTCTTGTGTATTTGGTATCTACAAAAGTTCTTGCATAGCTGTGAAAGCTCAATAAATAATTGCCTAAGTAATAAGCAAGCAAGTGCATCATAGGTGTTCAGAGACCCAAGAAACCCTTTAGTGTGCTGTTTATACCTGACAACTTACCCTGTCTGAAGCTATTGTTTAAGTAGTTTGGGAGATATAAAGATGAGTCATGTGGATACGAAAAGATTATTATCTAAGCAAAAAATGTAAAATTGGAAGAATCAACTGAGTTGTGGTGGGGACATAAAAACCAAGAGTAACTTAATTTGGTTCCTAGAATCAAGGGACATGGATTTGTGTGGGGCCCCTTAAACTGGGCCTGGGGATGCATGAAATTTAAATCCTAAATTATAGTAAACACCAAAGTTCCTGACTTACAACAGTCCTTCCTTTAGTTATACACAACCATCCTGTTCTGTCAAGGAAGGTATTTACAGGCAGAGTGGAGGAACAAAACAAGAAATACCTGCTTCAGCCCTGGTCATAGTTGATTAGAAATGAACTGGCCTCCTGATCAAGGAAGTTCGGTCAATCTCTGTCTCTCTGGGGCTTGTAGAGACAACTTAAAAAATTCAAGGCAGCTGAAAGTGATGGTGATAAGTTAATATGGACATGTTGGAGAGTGGAAGGGGAGGAGTGTTCTGTTTTTGATGCCTTGTGAGAGCCATTTTCTCTCCCTTAATGAAGCTAGCGTTAATGTGTGTCTACTATTCCAGCTTTAGAGAGTCTTCATGAAAACAGATGAGAACGTGGAGAGCGAATGACAGAGAACTGAGACGGATGAACACACTGTAGAAGGGAGCATTGGAACCTGATACCCCAAGCCTGGTTGATATCCCGTATCTGAAGATAAATGGAGGAGGAAGAGATGATGCAGGGATGGGAAGGGAAGAGGGCCTGGGAAGAGAGAGGAGAGAGGGAAACACCAACCAAATAAATAAAAACAAATGAAAGAAGGGAGCGTTGGATATGTAAGGACACAGTTTTCATACTTCAGGATCCTATTTTTGATCCTATGAAGAAGAAAATGTTCTTCATAGAAATATTATTAGATTGAAATACAAGGTACTAGCAATTCACGTTTAATGGAGGTCATGAAAGAGTGTGAAAAGTGTAAGAATTGAAGTCACACCTGACAACTGTGGTTGTCTCTGCTTTTCCATCCACTGTATTCCGTAGTTCTCTGTTAGCGGTTTTGATCACGCCAGGCTTTGGTTATGAAAGGAGAGAAGTGTGAGAACTGAATCTATTGAACTGGAAATAAACAATGTCTGGCTGGTATGATGCTCAGTGAGACAAGATGCTCGTCATCAAGTCTGATTACCTAAGCTTGATTCCTTGGGCCCTAATCAGAGGAAGGAGAGAATAGACTCACTTAAGTTAACTTCTGACCTCCAAATGGTCCCCTGTGTGTTTTTTGCATGTTTATTCATGGGTACACACACACACACACACACACACACACACACACACACACACACACTGCTTTAAAAAATGTAAAGCATCCTAAAGCGTTTTTGTTCCCTAGCAATTTCTAGTTTCTCTATTTTGACATATTCTGGAATTCTCTATCGGTTGCTTGTTTACTCTAATTTGAGACCTTCTCTTATGAGTGTTAGCATTAAGTAGCCCAGGTCAAGGCTCCAGTGTCATATAAAAAAAGAAATAACGTGGGTCACGGAGATAAGCTGTGGAGAAAACTGTTTGCAATGGTAATAAGAGCAACCTTCTGAAGAATTACTTGGTTTTCCTTGGGATCAAGGATGAAGAGATGGTGAGTAAGGCTTTTCCGAGAAGGCTCCATGCTGAAAGAGAGAGGTAGGCAGGTGCCTGTTGTTGATTTATTGTCTCCTGGGCCCAAATTTTCTTGTTATTTGTCTGTTCACCCACTATTGCCTACAGTGGAAACAGAATTGTTAGCAATGTCCTTTTGCCAGATCGATCTGCGTTATTTTGTGCTAGTTGTAGGTGCTTGAGAAAGATTACACAGGGAGAAAGACTTTGCTTCCCAGTGTTGAGAATTTTGTTGAATCCATGAAGTCTCCTGGATTTTCTAGACTTGTTCCTGCAGCAAGCCACAACCAGCAACAGCCAGAATTAGCAGTTGCCCCAGCAATTCCTTAGTATCATAGCTAAGTGCTCCTGGTTAAGACTCCTCCTGACGAACCAATACCAGAAAAGGACTCCTCCAGCCACGTCCCCACATCTAGTGCAATAGTGACTTTCATGTCATCACTGAGCCGTGTCCCTGCCTGTCCTGACACTGCCTAAGATTTCAGCCTTGAGAGGAGAGGATCTTTCTCACAAGCTCTACTTAACTCAGGGAGTGCTGACTTCTTAAGGCAACCGTTCCTAGAGTCTTTTCCAACCATTCCACGATTTTCCTGTCAATCGTTGAATTATTTGAGTACCTTATCACAGTTAGTAAGTTTTCTTTTCTAAGAGACTTTTTGTATTACAAGACAAAAACAGAGAGGCTGGAGAACATGTCGAATAATCATAAAGAGTCGGGAATGCTGGCCAAGAGCAGTTGATATGATGTTGCAGTCAGTGTGGGATATTGGGTAGGCAGTGAGGGCTAGAGGAGAAAATATTGTGAATTCTATTGTAAAATTTTCAAGCGCGGTGTGGCAGGTCTGCCTTTGTCACTTGTAAAAAAAGGCATCTTTAGAGCAGCATGGAAGACAAATCTCTGTAGAGCGTGAAGATCTGAGCCAACGTGAAGCTTGGAGGTGGGGAGCGGTTCGGATTGTATCCCGAAAGCGTCGGAGAGAGCCACAAATCAAAATTCTGAAGTGACACAGAAGATGAAGCGCTTGAAGGATCTGGTGACCTTTCCGATAAAGAATGGGCCGGTAGCTCCAGAGGCTTTCAGATGAAATGAATGGGGGGCCATGGTGAGCTCACAAGTTAGAGCAAAAGTCTACGGGATTGATAGGCTTGAGGGAGATGGAAGAAATCCATGTTTGTTTTAGATATATTGGTTTTAAATAAGCAAAAAAAGCAGCGTGCATAAGACCATTTTGAGTGTACTTTACACAAGGTTCTCTGTTCAGTTAAGCTGAGTAATTATTCATGTAATCCCAACAAATTTAAAGCAGGTTTTCCTCCCAAGGTAAATATGTTCCACGGGTCTGTTTTTCCAATGCATGTTCTGCTTTGGATAGCTTTATGGGGATCTTGGATTTTTTCCCCCCTGTTAAAACATCTTCCAGATGATGGAGCCTTAAAACACAGAAGACAATGAATATTTTATTTGAAAAAAAAATGTGTATATTTCACTGGTGTAGAATGAAGATGAGAGGCTCAATAAATAAAGACTTAGGAACACTGTCTCCCTCAAGCTATGTATTCAGACGTGGACTTTTGTATCCCTTCACTTCAAAAAGCAGTTCTCTGGGGGTAGATTAATTCTGCTAGCCATCTGCGTCCCAGAAGACTATGCTCAGACTCTGAGTACTTTGTCTGGTAATCATCGAAGCTCTGGTAGTCTTCAAGAGATGGAAGACCTAGAGTAGATCCCTCAGAACGAATGCTGTGTGTGCACAGACTACAGCCCAGAATGCTATACACAGCACCTGCTGGAAACAGCACGCCCACCTGTGTCGGCCATGACCTGGCTGCTGCCTGGTCCCCGAGCCAAGAAAAGAAGCCCTTTAAAGCTGGCTTAGGAAGTTCCTATTAGCCAGCTATGGAGAATGTAAGCCAGCAGCATTCTCCAGAACAAGCCAGTAGAGGGAGGGAGGATGGAGCCCCATCGGAATACCATCAGCTGTGACATGGCAGGAAGCAATGAGCCCGTGACTTGTGGAGCACTAATGTGATTTAACTTTAAAAGGTAAGCTGTATTAACTCCAAAGAGATTCCTGTTTCTATTATTTTGTTTAGCTAAATCATGACTCATGTTTTTAATGCTTGCATGCAAACCCACTCTCCTACTGCCCCCACATTCCAAAAAACGAAAACAACCACACACCTTAAAATCGTAAGATAGTAGATGGACTCCCCTGTAACCAGGTGAGAATAATTTTGAAGTATGCTTTCTTCTTTCTGAAAAATAGAATGTAAGTGACTGAAAAACAGAATGGGAGCAGCTGACGTATACTGAAAATTGTGTTTTCGGTTTTCTAAGAAGTGAAGCTGTGCTCTCAGTTCGGATACTTCTTTCCCCTAATACTGTATGTTCAATCAGTTCTTCTCCCCGCACTGATGTGTGTGTATGTGTGTGTGTGTGTGTGTGTGTGTACACATGTGGAGAGAGAGAGAGAGAGTTATTAGATACTAAAAACCCAATAAAATTTAAAAAGTAAGTGTATAGGAGAGTCTGATCTGTTTCATTTTTTCTGCTCTTTAGGTAGACTTGAATTGCTATAGGCTACATCTATAATGATAGTAGACATTATCTATGATGGCAGTAGGCTGCATCTTTGATGGCAAGGAAAGGAACTTGAAGAATTCCAAGCAGTCCCTCTCATGGAAGCTATTAGTTCATTGGGAATAAGTTTATGTCTTATTTTGACAGGGTTAATTTCATAATCTATCATGATACCAAACATACTTTTATCATTTATTCAGTCTTTAGGTACTCTGCGTATGCATTACAGTCTTCAGATTAGAAAGTTTTGTGGGGCTCCTGAGTGTGTGAATGAATGGGTCTCCGATTCTTGTTCCTGCTCTTGGGGCTCTTTTCTTTCTGTTGAGTTGCCTGGACTGGCCTTGATGTGATGGCTTTAGCTTTATCTTATTATATTTTATCTTTTATGCTTGGTTATTATCTCGTAGAAGCCTGTTCTTTTCTAATGAAAGATAGAAAGGGAGTGATCTGGATGAGAGGAAAAAAGGAGAGGAACTGGAAGGAGTGGCTATAATCAGTATATATTATATGAGGAAAAATATATTGTCAATAAAAGGAAAAATGCAAAATTATTTTTAAATTATAATTTCTCTGTCTGTCTCTCTCTCTCTCTGTATGCCAAGGTGCTTATGAGACAACCAGAAAACACTGTGTGGGACTGAGAAGTCTATCCTCCTACCATATGGGTTCTGGGGCTCAAATTCAGGTTGTCAGGCTTAGAGGCAAGCACTAAGCTATCTTGACTCCCTGAAGAAGTTTCTCTTAGAGGACATTTGTATGTTGGGTGGGGCCTCCAGCATCTTGTTGCATGCTCTATCTGAAACATACCTCATCCTATTTAAAGACCAAAGCCTAGCTTTTGTAGAATAATACTCCCCACCCCCCTGCACACACCCATTGGTACTACAAAGAATCAAATGGTTGAGGCCAGGGATGCACGCATGCTAGACAAATTTTCTACCTTTGAAATTTATTCCTAACTTGGAATGGTACATCTCATAGGATGCAGTACACTTAACCTTCTTCAAATTCCAATGGCAATGCTTCTTTCTGAAACTCCTTGGTACATTCAGTGATGGGGGAATTACTTAAGTTTGCACAACTGGACCCTTTTGTCAGGATTGGGAATGCAGGGTATGCAGTGCAAAGACATTGTGTGTGCTCAGCACGTGTCTTACTGCCAGGAATGCACTAAGTCATTCTTCTGTGGAGGGACATAGCATGAATTCTAATCGGTATTCATAATAAAAACCCAGATTCAGATATAGAGGATAAGGCTGAAGATCAGAGAAGCAGAGAGGGCAGTCATTGGAGAGTTCTTTTACCTCTACCAATGTTCAAACTGAAGGGAACAATCCTGCCCTCAGACTGCATCTCCAGACTCCATCTATCTCCACCAAACTTCAAACTGCACTGTCCCCATGAAACCTGAGACTGCACTCAACTCCTGCCTCCTTCCAACTTATATTCGTCTCTCCACCCAGCCATATCACCCTTGGGTCCACCTACTTAGTGCTGAGTTCACGGGCATAGGATCCCAAGTGCTGGGATCCCCTTTGTGTGAGCTCTGTTTCTCTTTTAGACAGATTCAATCTTTTGTCACCCAAGGTGGCCTTGGACTAACAGAGGTCCCACTGCCTCTGTCTGCTGAGTCCTGGGATTAAAGGTGTGGACTACCACTGTCTGGCCCTTAGTGGCTCAGCTCTACACTCTGATCTTCAGGCAAGCTTTATTTGTTAAAACAAAATATCACTACAGAGGGAAATTTGTTTTTGCTGTTCTTCATGGTTTTCTTCAAGAACCATGTACCATTTGCTCAAGTGTCTAATCTTACTGAAAAATTCAATGAAATTTTTTCTTCGCCAACATCTGCTATTCCAATAACTTTCCTCAGATTAACCTGTGACTTTGCAACTTAGTGGTCCATCTTTTTACATCTCTTATCTCCCAGCTAACTGGAGAGAATGTGAAGAAGGCAGATGAGGATGGGGGTCAAATGATGCAGCAGCCTCTGCCCAGTCATAAAAACATCACTCGTGTAACT